AACTATTTAAATATTTTATTTATTTATTTATTTTTAGAGAGAAGAGAAGGGAGGGAGAAAAAACATCAATGTAAGAGAAAACATTGATCAGTTGCTTCTCAATCAATTGCTTCTCTTATGTGTCCTGATCTGGAATCGAACTGGTGACCTTTTGCTTTGTAGGATGATACCTAACCAACTGAACCACACTGGTTAGGGCACTCTTTAAACTATTTAAACAAACTTTAGTGCACCCATAAAATAACAGAAAAGGGGAAAATAACCCAAATGTCCTTAAGTCAATAGATAAACAAAATGTAATATACCCATTCAATGGAATATTATTCAGCAATAAAAAGAAACCAAGTGACAACATGGGTGAGCCTGGAAAACATTATGCTAAGTGAAAAATTGCAGACATAAAAGGCCACATATTGTATGATGCTATTTGCATGAAATGTTCAAGTAAGAAAATATAGATTAGTGTTGCCAATGGCACAGATTGGGTGGGGTCATTATGGGAAGGGAGTGACTGCTAACAGGTAGGAGGATTTTTTGAGGGGTGATGACAGTGTTCTAAGGTCAGTAGTGGTGATGGTTGCGCAATTCTGAAGAGACTAAAGTCCATTGAATTATATACACCTCAAGTGGAACATTATATGTAAATTATCTCAATAAAGCTGTTGGAAAAAAGAAATAGGGAAAGCCTCATGGAAAGCAATACTGTTAAAAGTACAGAACAGTATGCACAGTTTCCTATCATTTGTAAAAAAGAAAAAAACAGAAGAATGGATAAAGAGTTTCATGTGCATGAAATACCTCTGGACAGATTTTTTTCACTAAATGCTGTTTTGTATTTTTTGGAATTCCAAACCAGGTAATGTATTGCCTATTATAAATCAAATATTTGCCATTATAAAAATAGTTTGCCCTACTGTCAATATCATTCTAATTAGGCACAACTATGCTCCATGGAAGTATATAATAAAAGGTTTGTTAGACATACAGAATCTTGGGAGCTGCCAAAGGCTTTGAAGATATCTACCAACTTTAAGTTCCCCAATGTACAGATGAGAACAAATAATTTTCAAAAGGGTTAGCCATCGAATCCAGGGTTACATCTTTGAGAAGCACTAAGCTGCAGTGTACTTTTTCAAACTCTGGGCAATCATGAGGCAACCTTACAATTTCTGCCATAGTTGAGTTATTATTTACTATATACTTTTCTTCAAAATGGCGCAGCTTTTTAATAAGCCATAATGTTCATGAAATTGAAGATTTGTTGTACTAGTTATTTTTCAAATACACATTGAGATGGAATTTTTATTGGGATTAAACTTTGAATTTTACTTTTATTTGAGATATTTTATCTACCTAAAATTATCTCATGAACCTCAATTTGGGAAATGGTGCATGGAAAGTGTAATTTAATGTTCACCTTTGTCCGCCATTAACTGCCATTTTTTATTGAGCAAGTCCATTAACATCTCCTGAACTCAGTTCTCTTACCTTTAAAGGAGAGGGCTGGGCTAATGTCTAGGGTCAAACTCCAGTTGCCCGGCTCCTGGGTCCAGTGGTGCTCTAAGCTACTCCAGGTTTGCAACTGTCACAAGTTGCATCGTGTTCTCAGCATCTTTATCACATCTTCTGGGGTGAGCTTAAACTTTAGCTATAAAATACAGCCCTGAGCTGTAAAATACCTTCATGACATAGTGTTTGGAGAGTAAATTGGCACCTCCTTCTGTAGCATTGTTTGATTATACCATTTATAGAAATTCCACACTCGGGAATTTATTTGAAGGAAATAAGCGGAGATGCTGCCAAATGTTCATATGTACAGGGATAGCCATTATGGTATTTATTATAGCAAAGAAAGTTTAAAAACATAAATGTCCGACAATAGGTAAATGTTAAATTAAAAATTGTGCAATTTTTAAAAATTCTATTTGATTTTAAAATTTTTATTTATTTATTGGTTTTGGAGAGAGAGAAAGACAGAGACCTTGGTTTGCTGTTCCACTATTTATGCATTCATTGGTTGCTTCTCCTATGTGCCCTAACTGCAGATCTAACCCATATCCTTGGTGTATTAAGACTCTCTAATCAGCTGAGCTACCTGTCTGGGGCTTAATGATTTCAGAGAGAGAGGAGTTGGGAGGGAGAGAGGGAGAAATATTGACGTGTTGTTCCACTTACTTATACATTCATCGTTTGATACTTGCATGTGCCCTGACCAGGGATAGAACCTGCAACCTTGTCATACTGGGATGATGCTCTAAACCAACTGAGCCACCTGGCCAGGGCCAATAATTCTGCAATCTTGATGAAACTGAATATTTTTAATGATGTGTGAACATGCTCACAATAAGTGAGGTAAAAGGTATCTAAGCAATAATTTAGAATATAACAAAATTGCAAACACATAAAAGCAACAGGGACAAAAAAGATTATAAGAAAAATCAGCAAAAGGTTCATTGTAAATGTCTCTAGGCAGTGACTTAACAGAGGATTTTCATTTTCTTTTTTTATATCCTCATGACGTGTTTTTCCTCCTTTATAATAAATGTACTTTACTCTTAGTATCAAAAAACACTAAGCAATATCTTTAAAATAAACAATAACATCTCTCTCTTTTGGCCCTGATCCTGCGGGAAATACCCAAGCCATTCACAATTATTTAATGAAAATACATTCTTTGTCCTGAGATACAAAACATCTGAATAACGATCTCATGATATCTCCCTAAACTCCATTTTCTGTTTTTCCTTGTTAAAGAATTGCCTGTAAAAACTCCAGAAAGAACAGATGCCTGAGGTAAACTGACCGTCTTTCCCTCCCTCTGGCCTCTCTTCATGTTGTGGAGACTGAAAGAGGCCAGCAGACATGTCAGGGACATTAAGGGTAAACAGCATTGTTTCTGAATTTTTTAAAAAAGCTTACTTACTTGCTTTAAATTAATTTTTAAAGTGTTTTCTGCTTTCACAAATTAACATATCCTTAAATCTTCACTGAAGGTGTTCTGTAACCACAGTTATGTATCACTGCTGAATTATTTTTCAGAGAGTTGTTTATGGGTTCTTTATTCCTTTCCATTTTGAATAATCTTACTCCAGCTAGGTGCAGTACTGGAGACTGTTACCTAACTACTTCAATATGTTGCATCAAGAACACTTCGCAAGCTAGCCAAGCAATTTAACCTTTTAAAGAAGTCAAATTAACTAAAAAATACTTTATGATTTTTTGTTAAAGATTAATGTTAAAAGAGAAAAATAAAAGTAGTAATACACCAAACTAGGTGCTGAACCAAAGAACTCCAAGACACAAACTAAAAACATTGAAGTGGTTCCTTTCTTCATTTAAATGTCCGTATTTTTGAAACAAACATAAAACCCCACCTAGAAGTAAGCTAGTTTCTCATCAATAGGGGACTGAATAAATAAATTATAGTAGATTCAGCAAATATATACTTACAGAAACATTAATAAGACAGGGGATTTCCATGTGGAAAGACATCCTAGATATAGAGTGAAAATACACTGGTGCAGAATACATATATAGTATGATTACATATTACATAAAATAAGACATATGCATATATGTGCTTATACAAAAATTTCTAAAAGGAAACACATGACACTCTTCCCTTTTGAAGAGTGGGACTGACTGAGTCAGGTCATGGGAGAGGGCTTTACTTTTATGTACTTCCATCCTGTTTCCAAAACTTTTTTTTTTTTTTTACACCTCATACAGGCATTACTTCTGTAATTTTTAAAAGTGAGCTTTGCCCTGGCTGGTGTGGCTCACTGGAATGAGTGCCAGGCCTATGAACCAAAAGGTTGCCAGTTTGATTCCCAGTCAGGGCACACGCCTGGGTTGGGGACCAGGTCCACAACCAGGTACCTCGGAGAGGCAACCAATGGATGTCGATGTTCCTCTCTCTCTCCTTCTCCCTGCCTTCCCCTCTCTCTAAAAATAAGTACGATCTTTTAAAAAAAATAAAAATGAGCTTCAAATTAGTTCTATTTTGGAAAGTGAAGACCAGCACTTTTGAGGAAAAAACCGAAAACAACCTCACTCTGATGTTTGTTGAGTTTTGGAAAACAGCTTTAAGATTTAATTTACATAAAATCGACTCATTGTAAAGTGTACAGTTTGTTGACTGGATTTCATACTGAGTTACAAAAATTTATTTGGCATGAGAACAAAACAATCTTTCAGAAAACCACGCACAAGAATAGCTTTTGTGTCTAAGAAATCTCTGGGGGTATTCAAGATCTATGCCAACTGTGTGACTGCAATGAGGGTAAATAATGCTCAGCCTTCAGATTACGGGGGAAAGTTTGGAACCAGAAAATCCAGTGAGGGGTGGGGGGGCGGAGAGAGAGAGAAAGCAAACAACTCTCCCAGGGGTGTGCAACCTGCAGGCCGCGTGCTGTCCAGGATGGCTATGAATGCGGCCCAACACAAAGCCCTAAACTTACTTAAACCCTTTTTTCGCTCATCAGTTTTCGTTAGTGTTTGTGTATTTAGTGTGTGGCCCAAGACAACTCTTCTTCTTCCAGTGTGGCGCAGAGATGCCAAAAGTTTGGACGCCCCTTCTAGGCTCAAGGGCACGTGGAGAATAAGCCACAATTCCATGCATTCTTAGGAGTGGCTGGGACTAAGGCTGGAAGTGCTTCTCAAAGCCAAGCAGTTTCCTTTAATCTTTGAACTTCGAACTTATCCTAACTTCCTAGTTCCTTCCCCCAGTAACCTGCCTGAAGCTCTCCACGGAGGTCAGAGGTTTCAATGAGCAGTCAGTTGCTCAGCAGGGGGAGGTCTCGCCCCGGGATACCGGGAAGCCTTTGCTGCACCCGCATGCCTCACCCGCATCCCCTGGACCCGCATCCTTGGACCCTCATTCCAGGACCCGCATCCCAGGACCCGCATCTCCTGGACGCGCATCTCCAGTCCCGGCCCCTCCGCCCTCAAATCCCAACTCGGGCGACAGCGGAAGACACCCCTCGAGCTTGGGCTCCCACCTGTGCCCCGAAGCATGTTGTCTCGGAGTAGATCGCCGCTGGAGAGGTGCTTCAGCTCAAAGTGTTTGGTTATGCGCGACGACACGGTGCCCTTGCCGGAGCCCGGCGCCCCCATGATCACCGCTCTCAATAGCCGCGCGGACGCCCCCATGGCCGTAGACAGAGGCTGGGCTGTGCGGGCGGTGGGGCTTCGGCCAGGCTGCGCGCTCCCCCGGCTCCGCGGCCCGCGGCCCGCGGGCTGACAGCACTGAAAGCGGGCGGCGGCGCAGTGCCCAGGCGCTCCCGGAAGTGAGGCGACGGCCACCGGGGCCGCCCCTCCCGCGCCCGGCCTGGAGGCAGCGCCCGCCCCTCAGTGACCCGAGCGCCTATTCCCCAACGCCCGGCCTGGCCGCCCGCCTAGCCGCGCCTTCTCAGCCACCCCGGCGAGCTCCAGGGCCGCCCGGCACCCACCTGCGCCCCTACGCACCTCCTCCCCACCCACTTGCTTCCGTCTGCTGGCACTAGCCGTCCTTCCGCACCCCCTTTGCTCTCCTCCACCGCCTGGGGCCACCCGAGGCCTCCTCTGCGACCCCTGGTTGCCCACCCCCACTTTTCTCAGACCCACCCCCTTGTCCCCTCAGTGCCCCTCCCTGCCCTGCTGGATAGGTCTTGCCCTTGGCAACCCCTGCGCCTCCCCTCCATATCCCTTGACGCCCCTCCTCGCAGGGTGGTTACCTGATATCACCCTTCCCTACCACATCCCCAACATCTATGCGCCCCTGGCCTCTCGTCCAGGCCTGATGCTTTCCTGCCCAGTCCCAGCTGGATAGACCCCCTGTGCCTCTCCTAACATCTGTGCTCCCCTCACCACCACCTGAGCCCTCCCCGCCACCCCCCACCTCCAGAGTCACCAGACTGCCCCCTGCTCCTTACCCTACCCTCTTGCTCCACCCTGCTCCCTCGCCCCCTCCTCTGCTGCTGAGCAACCTTAAAAGGACCAGTTGCTCCTCTCAGGCTTTCTCCCTAGTTTGTAAGGTAGGTTATTTCTGTTTAGAATCCCAGTAGGTGAAAATGAGCGGAAAGGGCCTTCCTCCTCATTTCACGGGAAGGAAACCCTGTTGACATGGAGTGAGACGCCTTAAGTCACACATCTATTGAGGGTGACTTCCATAGAAGTCACACTAACACACCTTCAAATTCAAAGGCAGCTGTTACGTTTACTCAACACAACCAGGTTTGGCATGTTTCAGAAATAGAAACATAAGACAAACTTCTAGTACTTATTTCCTCTGTATAGAGGCCATGGAAGATTAGTATGAGTTGTTAAAATAATGTGTATAAAGTATAGTACCAGGTACAGGGTACATGCTCAATAAAGATTATTCATTATTATTGTCATTTATTTGTTGTAGGACACTATGCTAAGGCAGAACACAATGCCATCCTCCTTAGAGGGGAGGAGGGAGGATGGTAAGGGGGGAAAGAAGGGGAAGGGTCAGGTCAAGGACCAAGTAAAGGGCCCATGGACAAAGCCAAAGTGGGGAAGGATTGAGGGTGGGAGGAGGGGGTGGATGGAGCAGGGGAACGTGGTCGCAGGAAAATGGAGACAACTGCACTTGAACAAGAATAAAAAAATAAATTAAAAAAAAAAAAGAAGTTGCCAAATGAGTAGATCAACACTGCTTTCAATTTCAAAAACAAATTATTTTAGAGAGGAATGGTAAAGGAAAGATTGCTCCCTGGTGAATCTGAGCTAGATGAATGAATCTAATAGGTAGACAGTGCAGTATTTAGAGAAAAAAAATTAGCCCTGGAGGGGCAGCTCAGTTGGTTAAAGTTTGGTTACAGCATCGTCCCAACAGCCAAGTTGTGGGTTCCATCTCCAGTTAGGGCACATACAAAAATCAACCAGTGGATGTGTAAATGGGTGGAACAACAAATCAGTGTTTTCTCTTTCTCTCACACTCTGTCTCTCACTAGAAATCAATAAATAAACATTTTTTTAAAAAATTAATAGCTCAGCCCCAGCTGGGTGGCTCAGTTTTTTGAAGCATCATCTTGTACACCAAAAGGTTGAGGGTTCAATTACCAGTCAGGGTACATATCTGGTTTGCAGGTTTAATTCCTGTTGGAGTTACACAGGAGAGGCATGTTTGTCTCTCACATTGATGTTTTTCTCTCTCCCTTCCTCCCTGTCTAAAATCAATAAACATATCCTTGTATGAGGATTTAAAATAATTAATAGTTGATACATATTCATTAATAAGGAAGAATGAAAATAAATGAAGTAAACATTCAGTTCATGTTGTTAGAAAAATAACATCAAAGTAATTCAATGAAAGCAAACAAAGGGATTAAGTAAAGAAAAAGAATATAAATGACACGATTAGAAAATTTAAGAAACAGGACTAACAGGAATGAAAAGGTCTGGACAAGTACAAGTTGCAAAACACTGTAAGGCATATGGAAGACACTTCTGATCTCCAAAGCTGGGAACATTTGTGGTTTTAACTACCAAAAAGACCTAAAAGGAAATCCCATGGAAATTTGGCTTAGAAAAGAATGTTGAAACAAAAATTGCTGAGGAATCATTCTGTCATTGGGGAAGAAAAGCTGAGTGTTGTGGTCACATCAACAGGCCCCACAAAATGCCAGCTAACTGCAGCTTTCCTAAAGTTTGTTGATTACGAATGAGTAAGTAACTGCCAAACTGGAAAGGCTCCTGGCAGCTCTGCCTAGCACAGTCGTTTCACCACACATAGGTATTTGTATGGGTGGGTTCTTTACTATTTAACTTGCTCCAATGGTAGACACTGAATTCAAATGAATACATTAGGGAGTGTGAGTCAGGAAGAGATTTTAGAAGTGCTTGTATGTTGGGACTTGCCCTCTAGGAATTATGAAGAAGCCAGGATCTGAAGAAGCCTGAGAGAGAAGACCATGGGGAAAGAGGCCCGGCTGTCCAAGTTATTCCAGTCATTCAGCTGAGCTGCCAGTTGTGGCCACATGAGTCAACCTGAAACTGGAAAAGTTGGCATTTGTGCTGCTAGTAACTAACAGAATGAGTAAAGAGAGACAAGGGTTGAATCTTTATGGGTGTTTTATTCAGATACCAGTGATATGAGAAGGCAGCAGTTTATGTACCCTAAAAACCTTCTTGACATCTCATCTCAAGCTGACCTTTTTATAAGAAGAAAGAGTAGATGAGGGGTTTGGAAAAAAGTTTAATCAGATAAGAGTTGCAGTCTGGATGTGATTTTCCTAGTACTCCTTTATCTGTTCATCAACGATTCTGTATCTGCAGCTAAACCAGACATTGCTTCTCTGGAACACGATGGCTTAGAAACCATCTCCAACCTTGCAGACCTCATGGGGCACAAAGTTTGAATTGCTTTTCAATCTCCTGGAGTCACATAGGTCAAGCATTCCCGTTCCTGAAATAACAGCTTTCCTCCTGCATTGATCACTTCACCTATCAACTATGACTAAAGCTAAAATCTTTAACACCTGAGTTCCCCTATCAAACCCAGGGGTAGATGGATTAGAGAGTAGAGAAATAATTTTTCCCTGAGCTACTAAAAGAAGAGAATTGTCATTAGCTGAGATTCGGAAGACTATAGGAGAAACAGGTTTGGGGGAAAATATTATAGTTGTTTTGGAGTAAGTTAAGTTGGAGACACTTTTGGGACACCCAGAGGGAGTTGATAAGGAGGCAGTTAGATCTACAAATTTTGAGTACATAGTAGGGATCCAGGCTAGAGATATAAAGTTTGGGAGTTGTTGGTATATTTAAATCTATGAGATTGTATAAACTCACTTAAGGAGTAAGTTTAGATGGGAGGAAAAAGTTCTGAAATCTGACTTCTGGGGTTCTCCAACATTTAGAAGATAAGGAACAAACACTGAAGGAGTCTGACAAGAGAGGCAAGTTATTTAGGAAGAAAAATGGGTGAATGTTGCCAATGTATGACATCCAAACCTAGAAGAATTTCTGAATTTACCTGAGCCAAACTAATGAAAACTGCCCAGAAGCAAAATCTCAAGGGATTGGAAAAATGCTCTAAAAATGGCAGAGACAGTAATGGAGTTACTTGAAATCTGTTGTGGATAGGTTAGGGAGATGGGAAAAAGCAAAAGTGCTGGGGGAATCTCTGAGATTGAATAAAAAGTAAAAGGAATAGACACATAGTGTTACATAAGCTGATATAAGATAGTTAACAGTTAACAACATAATAATAACAATGAGGGGATCTGTGGTCTGTGCTCCGGTGGGGTGGTTGTGCTTGAGAGGCAAAGGGGGGAAGAAATTACTTTGATATTCCAAAGGTATGTTATCTGGTCTTAGATGCAAAAAGACAACAGACCAGCTCAGTTAAAAATTGACATTTGTTACGGGAAATTACTGGCCTAGGACATGACTACCTGCCATGAACCACTTTTAGTTAGAAAGTTTTAATTTCAGACCCTCCTATGTGATTACTTTAGGTATCTGAGTTTGTAAGCACCCCACCCCCCACCCCCATGCAGGCCTTCCCTGAGTTTGTCAGGTTTAGTGGGTGGCCCCTTTATGGTCCACAATGTGGAGTCATGGAAATGAGTTAAATGTGTTTTAGGGGAGTAATTCCATAGATTAGTCAGATTCTGCTGATAGGTAGGACCGAGACCTGACTGATAATTATTTCCAAATGTAAAAAAAGAGACCCACAAAACCTGTAACATAGCTTATTTTTCATTTACAATGTGTGCATGTAAAAATCTGAGGATAATTTTGATCAAAATCGTGTAGACATTCAGCAACTGAGTTATTGACTTCAAAAAATGTTAGATGAAATATAGAAAATGCTTTCTCTAAGAGGAAGCTTCTTGCAGGAGGATTCAAGTTGTCCAAAACAAGGCTATTAGGAGAAAAAAAAAAGTCTAGACAAAAGTGGGGGAACTGAACAGAGGAGGCTGAAGTCAGAAAATACAAGGCCATATTATTTTTAGCACTTTGCGAAAGCAACAGAAGAGGGAGACTTAGAGCTAAGACCATTTTATTATAACACATTTAAAAGGATAGACAAACAAAAGTGTTGGAGAAAACTCTGAAAAACAAGAAAATGAACCTTGACCCATATGGCTCAGTTGGTTGAGTGTTGTAAAGCAACAGCTCACTGGTTCAAATTTCCGGTCAGGGCTCATGACTGAGTACGAGACTCTCATGCTGATGTTTCTATTATTTTCCTTCCCTTCTTCTCTCTCTAAAAAATAGATAAGTAAAGTCTTTTAAAAAAAAAAAGGAAAATGAGCAGAGGCTAGCTAGCTC